CTCACACGGCAGGAGACACACCAACTGGTCTTTGCCACCAGAACAACCGCTCAGCATCCAGTCCAGCCACACAACCATGCTCCAGGCGATTGGATCTGGGTGAAAAAGGTACAGCCTGCTTCTCTTGAGTGCCGCTGGGACGGACCTTTCCCTGTCATCCTCACAACACCCACCGCGGTCAAGGTAGCTGGACGCCGACATTAGATTCACCATAGTGAATACCTCTAGCCAACCTATTTTCAGTGTAGATCTATGTGCCATCCGGGCAGCCTGGCAAAGCTCACTCTGGGAGACTTACGAGGCCAGGGCCCTTGTACTCACTCTGCTGGCTATCCCTTCAGCACCTCCCCCTACGCCCAGAATTGTGACAGCATCGCTCCCACGGACATTACTCCTCCGTTTTACTTAGTTGCCCCAAAGGCACCTGGTTTGCCTGTAATACCGGGCCAACCCCCTGTATCAGCTCCAACTGCTGGTCCCAGGGGACATACGGCTTCTGTGTACTAGTTCACGTTATCCCTCAAGTGTATTTCTACTCCGGGGAAGGGGGCCGCGAACATTTCCAGTACGTAGCCTATCACATTGCAAAGAGGGCGCCTATCCTAGTACCTGCACTAGTAGGCCTAGGTGTGGCAGGATCAACCGCTGCTGGAGCGGCAGCCTTAGTAACGGGGATTCTAACTACTGGACCCTGAGTCAACAAGTAGACAAGGACTTGCAAGACTTAGAGACATCAGTTTCTCACCTAGAGACCTCCGTGAACTCCCTAGCAGAGGTGGTCTGACAGAATAGGAGAGGGCTGGATCTCCTCTTCCTGAAACAGGGAGGTCTCTGCGTGGCTCTGGGCGAAACCTGCTGTTTCTACGCTCATCATTCAGGTATTATCAGAGATAGTTTAGCCCTGGTCAGACAGAGACTCCGTGACAGAGAAGAACAACATCAGCGGACAGGGTCTTAGTATGAGAACCTGTTCAACAGATCCCCTTGGTTAACTACGCTGCTTACGTCCATCACAGGACCCCTAATGCTGGTATTTCTGGAGTTGCTATTTGGCCCCTGTGTAATTAATTAGATAACCGCCTATGTCAGAAAGCGGGTCCAGGCAGTAAAACTCATGGTCCTCAGAACAAACCACCAACCGCTCCAAGTCGGAGAATCAATGATTTGATTTCTCTTGGACAACCAGCGGGGAATGTCAAAGTGGAAATTCTCCAGTTTCAGGGAGGAGACATCTCCAGGCGCCCGCCCCAGGAGCAGCACAACATTCCATCGTGCAGATGATTAAACCGTCTGCCAGGCCCTGTTTGATCTGAGTTCCCCGGATACATTTATTTTTGTACAAAACGTTAATGGCTAAGTTCTGCTTCTTGTAATCTGCTTATTCAAGGATGTAGTTGGAGGCTTTCGAAGCTGCCTCCTCGGGAAGCTCAGGCCTGATCTCTTCTAACCCTGCGTGGCAGAGAGTCAGTCACCGGCCGGCTAATAAAGGTTCATAATTAATCTCAACTGGCTCCGTGGGTCTTAGAATCATTCACGCCATAACAGAATGAGGGGCAAAGGCCAATATCTATTTTTCCTGTGATCTCAGAGGGTGCTACTTCTCCAGTCAGGTGACAAGAGGTGCAGATCCGCCCCCACCCCCACCCTGGGCCACATGGTCTGCAAAGAGATTGACTGTGTGAGCGTGACCACACAGGCCCCACGGGGCTCTCGGGCAGTGAAACAAGGATCTCCTCTCCAGGGTCAGCTTCTGGCTCCTCTTGCGGGGATAAACATTGCCCCCCTCCCGAGCTTGCTGGGTCAGCTCCCAGGCTCCGGGGCCCCTGTGGAGCCCCCGCCACCACTCTCACTTCCTCCGACTCCACTTCAGCCCCTTCCCCTTCTCTCTCCTGTCTCTTCCTGTCCCGTCTTCCAAGTCTTCCAAATCCAGAGTCACCCGGAGAGGCTGGCGGAGGGAATGAAGCTGCCCGGCGCCGTGGGGGGCCTGGGACGGGCAGAGGGCGCAGGTGACCGCCTGCTCAGGCCAACTGCTGCAGCGCGGGGGCGAAGGTGCACACTCACCAGAACTTTCCACCTACCCAGAGATCCCCAACCTTCTGTTTCCTACGAGACTCTCTGGTTCTAAACGTTGGCAATTCATTTACATATTTTCGGTTAGACCCAGAACCTGAATCGATCAAAACACTGGTTCCCTCAGTCCTCGAGGAATTTGCGTTCAACGCGTCACAAGAGGTGAAAATATTTATAGTCTAGTCTCCTAGCCAAATACAGAGTGTGGGATAAAACCTTTACATTTCCATATTAAATCAGTTTGGTCTTTCAGAACCTACCAAAATGTCGTCATTATCATTATTATAATTCCACCTGTGCACCGTTCTGACCCTTGGGATATGCGTTATTCTAGTGAGCTAGAAACTGGTACTTTGACTTGAAAACTGGCAGTTTTAATTCAATAGAAGAAACACTATCACCAAAACAGCCCACAGCCCTGCAGATCCTGGCTGAGCGCCCCTCGCTCTCCTCCACTCAAAGCCATCCATCTTTTTTCCAGGCTTCACGGCGAAGAAGCCTCCACTGCTCCACTCCCCACGTCACCCCAGCACGGTCTGCCCTCATCACCCCTCCTTGGCGGTCTCAAAACACCAGAGTGCCCTTGCCAAGCTGCTTCCTCCTAAATGATTTTCTGTCCTCCCCTCCAAGACTTCCCCCTTCGGACCCCTATCCCCCGTGGGGACCAGCAAGTGAAGCCTTCCTGTGCTCCCCCTTGTCTGGGGTAAAAGAGGTGGGTGGCTAGGGGCTGTGACTTGGTTTCCTGAGTCCCAGAATCATACCAAAGCTTGGGGAGCACATGCCACAAATGTTCCACCAACACACACACACACACACACACACACACACACACACACACACACACACAGAGACACCACTCCAATCAAGAGACAGCCCTCCTTACCTTGGGTTCTCCCACCGAAGCTCCAGGCCAGCTCTTCGAGCCCGTCCTCTTTCTTCACGCACTTCCCTGCTCCTTTAAGAAACACTTTTTTTCTAAATTGGAGCTGGTCCTGTTAGGCCTTCACGCCTACGCAGCATCCGCCCCATCCTGGGTGCCGGGTGTGGCTGGGACCAGACGAAGGCCCCCAGCATCTTCAGGTGTGTCAAACCAGTTCCACCTTGCCCCGAAATAAAAGCTGGCTGAGGAAAGTTGCGAGATAAAAAAGAGAGAGGCCTGAGAGGGAGCCACACTCACAGCCCCAAAGCGCCACTGAAAGGCACACACTCACTCACCTGGCCGCTTCCTCGAGAGTCAGCCGGCAGCCTGCGGACTCCCATCCCTGTGCTCGCTATGATAAGAACGGGCTTCCAAGTGGCAGCGAGACTGGGCCACCGCAGAGCCCTCCCTGGTGGCCCCCGCGTCCTGCCCGGACTCAGCCCCACCTCAGCCTTCGGATCCTCCGTGGACTCCCTGGTGAGTGGGTCCCCAGCCCAGCAGGATGGATGGCCCTTCTCCCAGGGGCCTAGGGCACAAGGAACACCCCCAAACTCCCCTTCCTAGATCGTGGCTGGCATAGGTGGGCAAGGTACTTTGGGACCCCAAGTAGCCCAGACCCAAAACTAAGACCAGGAAGACCATTTCTTCCCAGTCTGCTTTTATGTGGCCACCAGGTGAGTCACTTCCCTCCCATGACACTGGGAGTGCTGCAGCTGACTCGAGGCATCCCCAGAGGAAGGGGCCTGTGTGTGGTCCTGGCGAGTGGCTGGCTCACTGCCTGCAGCTGGGACTGGCGTGTGAGCACCTGATGCCGGAGAGGACCCCTCCTAGTCCCACAAATGGTACCACACCTCTGTGGAAGCCCAAGGCATGCCACGACATGCACACAGCTGTAGACAGAGCCGAAGTAGCCCCTCAAGTGAGGGAGTGGTAGCCGTGGCCTTCGCCACCTGTGGTCAACCCCCTAGAGAATACAGTGTCTCACGAGGGGCTCTGAGCCGACCTTCGGCTCTCACGCTCACAGCCTGGCAGCCTTAGCCATCTTCCAGTTTCCCCATCTGTACGATGCGGCCAGCGCTAGCAGCTCGCAGGTTTTAAAACAACGGAGCAGATGCCCACAGGGGTCTCCAAACCCTGTGCAAGGAAGGAAGATGGGCCATTTCCCTCAAGGGACTCTGGCGGAGGGGACTGAGGGGCCCGCGAGTGCAGGTGCACACCACCCAGAAGTCCCACAGCCCATGCAGCAGCTCCCAGGAAGCTGGCTAGTCCCCCTGATTTTTCCTGCCCAGGTCTCAATATTCTGCCTGAAGAAGACAGATTTCAAGGATTATGCCCTTCCCAACCCCAGCTGGTGTCCAGACATGCTGAGCCTGTACCAGGAATTCCTGGAGAAGACCAAGACCAATGAGTGGGTCAAAATACCCTCCTTCAAGTCCAACAAAGACCACATCCAAGGGTTCAAGCTGCCATCCGAGTTAGCAGTGACCTCCGGTAAGGCCTGGCCTGAGAGGGCACCAGGACCAGGTCCCAGCCGCCCAGCCCAGCCCCCTTCCCTGTGCTCAGAGGCACTTGGGAGGGAAGGTCACGAGCCCCCACCCGGGTTTCAGCCAGGGCTTCATTCTGGTGTCTACCTCCACCCTCCATGCCGCAGCCCCAGGCAGGTAGACGGAGGGTCCTGTCCGCTCTCCAGCACCCCCGCCCTCCATCTGAAGAGAGCGCACCCTAGAGGCACCACCCAGGAACTGCCAGCTCTGCTCTCTGCCATCCTGCCTCATCCCAAGCCCCCCTCCCCCACCCCAAAAGGCCTCGGGGCCCGTCCCCCACCGCAGGCTCGGGCATGCCATCGCGGCTCCGCCTGGGTCCACGACGCCAGCGCTGAGACTGACAGAGCCTTCCGCCTCCAGACTTCACGTGCGCGTGCGCGTGCGCGTCAGCGTGCGCGTCAGCGTGCGTCCACGTGCTCTTGTCGCGCTCATCCGTGCAGGTGGCCTTCCTGCCCCGGGACGAATGGGTGGTGCAGCAGGCAGACCACCCCTGGGGTTTATGGCACAAAGCAGGGGCGCCAGAGTGATGTTTTAAAGGAATTTGTAGCCATCCATGAAGGACATAGTTGCTGTGGTTGTCTTGGTGGGGCGGGGGTGGGTCAGAAGTTTGACTTATTTCACTGTGTGAATGACGTGAGTTACATTTTTAATTTCCAGTGTTCGAGGTCTGTGAAAGCCTTGACCTGGCCCCGACCCCCTCTGCACCTCACCCAGGACTTTCTGAACTTCCTCAGAGTTTCTCCCTCCGGAAAGGGGGGTGGGGTGGGGACAGGGCGGTGCCTCTGGTCCCCGACAGGGGGCCTGGGTGTCCCTCTGGTCTTCTCCTCGACCCGTGCTTGAATGGCCTGAACGGCCGCCCTGCACCCGGAGCGGGGCCCAATCCTTCATGCACCCCCTTCTCCAGCTGCGACACCCCCTGTCTCTCCGCAGACAAAGACGACAGGCGCCTCTTCACCAGGTGCATCCAGGTGGAAGGACAGGGCTACGAGTATGTCATTTTTTTCCAACCGTCCCAGAAGAAGTCTGTCTGTCTTTTCCAACCAGGTCCCTACCTGGAGGGGATCCCAGGGTAAGACTACAGGCTGGGACAGGGTGGGCGGCCTTGACCGCGTCCTGGGCTGGGCTTCACAGGTGGATCCCGCATGCACCAGGCCCCTGGGGCTGTACCTCTCCCTAAGGAGCCAGGTTGGGGGGTGCACTGGGCTTCAGCCTCACACTATCAGGCCTGGGAGGACGGCCGGGTCATCTGGTCCAGTCCCGCTGTGCAGGTGAGGGAGAGCCTCCTTATTGAGTCTGGGAATTTTCCGGTAAGAAGGGGTCTCAGAGGCCGCTTTGAGAGGAATGTGGTGAACTTGGAAGAGAACAAGATCTAGGATTAGGAGCCGGGCTTCCAATCCTGCTCTGCCACCTCTGGCCTTGGGACCCCATGCAAGCAGTTTAACCTCTGACCCTCAGTCTCCTTATCTAAAACCCAGGGCAATGATATCTATTTGCCAGGGTGGTACACCATTGTGGGCCGACGTGTACGTGCTCGTGCGCCATAAAGCACGACATAGCTGTCAGACACCATCTGTCCACACCACGTGTTACCCCAGGGCAAGCTCAGACACAGAGGTAAGGTCACTTGCCCGAGGTAGCACAGTCCATCAGGGTCAAATGCAGGACTCTAGTCCAGGAGCTGGGACTCCAAGTCCATTGCTCTCTCCACGGTGCTCTGCTGCCTCCAGACTTGGAAGAGACTCAGGAAAGAACTCGCTCTGGACATAAACACATCCACAAGATCAATCAGGCTGGCCCTGAGCCTCTTGCCAAAGGCCTAACCACCAAGTCCACGGCCGTCTGCCTTCTCCTCCATCCCTGTGTCTGCTCTGGACAGTCATTGAAGGCCATCGATGGTGCCAGAGCTCCTGCAAGGGAGAACAAGGAGGGGGAGGAGCGGCTGCAGGGTGCCAAGGTCTGAGAAGGACTCAGGACCAGTTAAGCAGAATTCAGAGACTTAGCAGGTGTCAGCACCTCTGCAGGCGGCGGAGAGAGACCTCAGCCCTTGGTCACCGTGGCCGTCTCAGAGGCCTCTTCTGTGGGGACGCCGCTTCCCCCACGAGTGCATGCGGACACTGGGGGCCTAGGTCAGAGCCCAACACAGGCCCGGGATCGCCTCCCTTTTGAAGAGGATAAACCCCAAGAATGCAGGGATGGGGTGAAGTGTAGCTGGCTCTTGTTTAGGGGCTCGTGGAGATGGGGCGGGGGAGGCAGAGAAGCACCTTCCAACGCTGAGGCCGGTGGACTGGGGGTGTCCAGAGAAGAGATTACAGCTGGATTGTAAACACCCCGTTCAGCCCACCTCCCGGGTAGGGAGGATCCTAGCTGTTCTCTACTGTGTCTTCCCTGTGTGTCTTCCGCTCTGCTTACGTTAGAACGCTTCGCTTCTGACACTTCCGGTCACCAAACGCGAGGATTTTCCCCATGCCACGCAATTTTCTGCGACATCGGCTGGGTGTCCTGCAATTTAACTCAATTCTAATACTGTCTACCTGGAGATAGTGTCACATCCCACAGATGAAGGGCTCGGTCCCACAAGACTCCCCCCACTCCAGACGTTGATCGCGAGTAGTAGGTCCGCAGATGACTCACAACTTCGGTCCGATTTGGCTACAAATCAGAAGTTCCCACAACTTCTTCCTCGGGTTCAATTAATTTGCTAGAGTAGCTCACAGAACTCGAGGAAACACGTGTTTATATTTACCGGTTTATTAAAGGCTGTGACAAAGGATACAGGTGAACGTCTAGGTGAAGACTGAACTTTTCTGTTAACGCTATCAGAAAAAAAATTTTTCCCGGTGAAATAAGTGAATCGTGGCAAGTGGTAGCTAACACATGCTGCAGCCACGTGGGAGGAAGCTCGGCCGGTTGTGACAGGTTCGATCGGACGAGATCGTGGGGAAGCCTGCAGCCCTGGCCTCGCTCCCCGCCCCATCCCAGGTTTGCCCACGGAGGGTCCCTGACAGCCTTGGTGGACGAGGCCTTTTCTAAAACTGCCTACCTGGCCGGAGAGGGGCTGTTAACGATAAGCCTCAACATCAGGTTCCAAAAGTAAGTATGGATCCCAGGGGTGTTGGCCAAAGTCATGGCCCTTTTCAACAGTGAGGGAGTGGCCATCCTTGGCAGCGGGAGTGCTGAAGGCGGCCTGCCACTCTCCTTCCCCGGCCCTCCGACCCCGGGAGCTGGCGGGTGGCCCCTGAGCCCAGAGTCCCTTAAGTCCTTGAGGCAGGGTGGGACGAAAAGAAGGATGGGGGACACAGGGGGGTAGGGAGGGAGGCCAGGGGATCACGGTGGCGGGGATGAGCTCAGCCGCCTCCTCTCCCAGCTTGATCCCCCTGGGCTCGCTGGCTGTAATGAACATTGACGTCGAAAAGATTGAGGACCAGAAGCTTTACATGCGCTGCATCATCCAGAGCAGAGACCAGCAGACAGTCTACGCCAAGTCCTCAGGTAAACAGGTGCTTTGGCCCCAGTTCCTGTCTTGCCACCTCTACCCCCAGAGCGAGCAGAAGGGAGGGGGGTGACAAGGACCCAGTCCGGAGCTGGGCTCGGTTTTCTAGCCGGGGACTGGGCACCTCCTGCAGACACGGGTGAGGGAGGCAGAGTCGCCCCGGGATTTTTTTTTCCCCTGCGTGTGAGTTGCCCACGCTGCACCACAGGACAGGGGCCAGGTACTGGATAACTGGATGCAAATGCCCAGAGCGCCCACCGAGCTCCCGCCATCTCCGCCTTGTCCCTGCCCCTCGGCTCGCCCTTCTCCTGCAGGTGTTTTCCTTCAGTGGCCTCTGGAAGAGGAGTCATCCCACTGACAGTCACCATGCCTTCAGGAGAGCCCACCCCTGCTGGCCCTGCCTGCCTGGACCCGCCACAGACCAGGGAAGGGACCAGTGAGGCGAGGGAGGGGGCGCTTTCCTCTGAGTAAATAAAGTCTCACAGCCCCGTTTTCAGCCCAAGACCTTTCTGCAGTTGGGTAACAAAACCCTCCCTGGGTGTCCCACACCCGGCCTTCTCAGCTGGCACCGACTGGAAGAATTCACCTGCCAGGCTCCTGGCACTGGGTGAGGTGCCGAGCACACCGCAACGAAAGACAGGACCCCTGGCCTCGAGACACACCACCTCGAGCCAGGCAGAGTCACGGTGTCCCCTCAGCTCCCCTCACCCCACCCTGGCTGCTGTCATGGGTGTAGTGCAAACCCAAAGGGAGAAAGGGGTCCATTTTACTTGATGAAAGCGATCAGAAAAGGCTTTCCAGAGGAAGCTCTGCTTGAACCGAGTCTCAAAAGTTAAGTGGTGTTCACCAGGCAGGCAGGGGACAGCAAGAGCAAAGGCACAGAGGGGCGAAAGAGGGGCACAGAGGGGTGACCTCGGGGAACAGGCAGGGCCTCAGTGGGGCAGGGGGCCGGGGCAGGCCACCAAAAGGGTTCATAAACCCTGCTGTGGAGTTTGAACTCTGTCTTGCAGATAACAGCCACTGAAAGTCACTCGGTCTGGCAGCCATTGGAATGGCTCCAGAACTGGGATAATGGGGCCAAGGCAGGGTTCCAGGGAGGAGAGCTTTGCAGAAAATGTGATTTGCGTGGCCATGGCTATAGGCTTCACCTAGGAGGGCTGGGGCGGGGCCAGTGTGGCACCAAGGGATGGAAGCCGCTGGCCCCTGATGGCCACCTCCCTCTGAAGCAGCCTTCCTCATCTCCCAAGCAGCTCAGGCCCAACAGAGGAGGCCAGGGGAACGAGGTTGGCTCACTGCCAGAAACCGGGCTGGAGGAAGGAGTTAAGAAGGCCTGGCTGATGGCCGCAGAGACAGAGCTGTGTTTATCCAGGAAAAGAGGTCATACGTAGGCAGTAGGCAGCACAGGCCCATGCCAGCTCCTCCCAGAAGGACTGGGCTGGGGGAGCAAGCTGGAGAGGCTCCGCACGCCTCCAGGCCAGAGGTCAGGACCCAGCGGCGGTCCACAGGTGAGGCCTGCAGTCCGGGCGCCCGCCAGAGCCCACCGTGGGCTCCAACAGCACGCGGTGACGGTGCCTCCTGGGGCCCGCTGGGGGTGGCAGGCAATCAATGCTGCCTTTGTGCTCCATGGTTCCTCAGGCAGAAAGGAGTAGGAGGTGGCCAGGCCCCGCCCTGCAGAGTCAGGCCGCGGTGGGGCTGGGGGGTGGGGAGCAGCACCGTCAGAGCTTAAGGGGGGTGACATTCTGCGCCCCCCACGTGGAGGGTAGGGGGGCGGCGCGATTTCTTGGACCAGCCCTGGGCTCTACAAGGCAGCAGCCAGGTGTGCATCCGGTCTGCCTCTGGCCTGGAGCGACCTGGAAAGGCAGAGGAGCTGGAGGAGGCAGGTGAGCTGGGGTAGAAGGATGGCTCAGCCCAGAGAAGTCCGCGGGTGGGACAGGGGAGCACAGCCCCGGCCAGGCCAGCGCCAGCGTGTGGGGAGGAGGAATGGG